GCTTCAGTTAAGCATAAATGCTAGAGAGTTCAGATTCTTACTGTAGCTCAGCGTATCCCTTCAGACTGTTTCTCAAAAATGACCCATGTAAAATTCTTGTATTTCTTTTAAACACTGTCTAAACACGAACAGAAACTCAAAGTTTGTTGTTTAAAACTTCTTGTCAAACCACTTCCATTGCCTTATTTACTATATTAGTTATCCAGATTAGTTGTAAACCTCTTCAACATTTATTTGAAATGATATCGCAACAATAATATTCTCAGGTTGGTGTTCATCACAAGGGCTTACGTCATTCAGAGAGACACTGGAAACCTGAGAGTACTTGACAGTTGTTCCATGCTAGTATGGGATTCCCCAGCAGCATGCACCAATAATCCTGCGAGAGATGAATATCATGATGAATACCAACCTGAAATCAATAGATAAATCCACACAAACCTCCAAATTGAATAATTCCAGTGCTCATTGTTGACTAGCTTACAGACTTGATTCCCAAAATTCTAGTGAGAAGTCATAACCAATAGGGTAAAACCAAGTCGGGAATGAGGACAGATACTCAAGGATACCATCGAATGGAAGTCACGCTTAATCATGAAGCGATAGAAGTAAAATGTGTGAAGCACTGAATTCTGAGCTAGGGACTCATTGGTGAAGTGTTGGCCATGAAACTTGAAGACCCAGGGTTCGATTCACGGAGGAGTCCGATTCTGCGACGAAACGGCTGTCCAGTTCTTTTAAGTTTCTATCATTTCTCCAAATGATTTTAGTCCATGATATCAGCAACCTGAAATCAACAAATAATTTTTTTGCATCTTTAAATCACAATGATTCTGAAAAATTTGTTTATTAACGTTCGAATCCTAGTTGACTGTAGTTTAACATAACTACTGTTCCAACATCTTGAATATTATGGCGAATCCATTCTTTTCAACGTTGGGAAAAATCAATAATCTTGACAAAGTGAAGATAGATTTGTAACCAATCGTTAGAGACCGACGATAATTACATCTTTCACAACAAAATATCATCTTATAACTACTCTCTGTTGTTTTTCTTTTTTTCAACTTCGAATAATCTTTCCGATAGTCTATTTTTTAATTCTATGTTTTAGGACTAATACATTGACTCAGTAGGAATATGTGAAAAATCCAATAAAATTATCGTATTACTCAGATTTATGAGGTATTAGGACATATTTCTGATATGTTATTGATGATCAATGCCTCAAAATCAGTGGTTGATGGAGATAAATATTCCAAACAGGTTGTGTTGTCGAACTCAGATTAGCAGGTCACCTACTTCTGAGGCTATACTAAACGAATTTGCAGTTATACATAGTCTGACTTAAGTCTCAAGTCACCCATTCAATCTAACATATGGTAAATATAGACAATCTAGTGTATTTCATCACCTTCTCAAATGCTATGAAATCGTAAGACATATACACAGAAATACAATCTATCTACCTTACTTATCAAGAAGATAATAGTCTTCTAATGAAACAGTGAGAGAATTGGTGGATAAACTCTAAGTGAGATTAGTAAAAACAAGTCGACTTCATAATTCTCAGAAGAAACCTGTGTTTTTTCTTAGTGAAACTTTCAAAATGGGATGAACTGATTAATTGATTTATAGGGGAATAAAAACCCCACTAAAAATCACTTTCCGAGTAGCTAAATTAGTATTTGTATGCAAGACAGAGTGTTCACTATAACGATCAAAAGTCGACAAATTTCAAGATAATGTCACCTCAAATTGTATTTATCAATTCACGTGCCCACGTTATAACATGTATGTCGGAAGGTCTGAAAGGAGGGCTGAGACTAGACACATTTCAAATAAGTTAAACTTGAAGGAACTAAATAGTTCCATTGCTGAGCAGCTGGTGGTCACATGGGACGACATCCATATGTGAAATGGATTTTTTACAATCAGTGGATATTGGAATACTAATTTACTACGATTCGGATGAGTGACTGCTATTAGAAGAATGAAACCAAACTTATGCATCTAAAGGGAGTTAGCTGTTAGCCTCCAACTTCTATGGTAGGTGTCAATTTGCTTTATCATTCAGTATAAGCCCATCCAAAATTCTGTCTGCATATTTTTGTATTTTCGTCCTCTTTTACAAACGATCGAACAAAGAATTCCTATTTCTTCTCCACATTTCTCGTAACTCATTCAAACCGACTTGACCTGAATCCCTGCAAACTTTATAATCGTCCAATCCACATGTTGCTGTGAGTGTTCTGAAAGAATTTCAACGCTTGACCTGAGTTTATCATTATATAAGTAAATTTCAATGTAAACTCAGCGTCTTGAAGAAGCATTAATCTGCATAGTGAAACGTTCAGAGAAGTTTTGCTTTGGTTTTCTATACACACTGGGATTATTTTGAAACTTACCCATCTAATGACTAAATTTATGTTCTAAACTTGTCACAGGCACTTACGTAAATCTTTATTTTCTATTTCGTCGTTGATCATATGCGTTGAAATTATAGACTGACAAAAAAGACATACGATCACTTTGATTCTAGGAATAAAAATTTATTTCATTTAAACTTCCTCAGTCTGGATCACTTTTTTCTAAACATATCATCAGTGAATTATCGTTCTGTCAACAAGTAAAGAACGTAGATTACACTTGAGCGTACCTTACGATTTTTTACCAAATAGTTGAAAATTTAACATTGATTTTCATTTGTCCCTTGGGTTTCTAGTGAAACATAGAGATTCACTAGCCCGCCGCCACTTCACTCTCTTCTCTCCAACACACTCTTCAACATCACTCCACCGCTGACCACAAGATTTCATTTCTTTCTCACACCATCTCCTCCATGTCACCATCACCTCACAGGCCCAATTCGTCGTTTCCCACTCGGGTTCCACTCGACGGCCTGGTCTAGCCTGGTCTGGTCTGGCCTGAACTGAGCTCACCTGACCTCATCCAGTGCACGATTTCCCAAAACACTCTCATCAGTGTGTGTACAATACAATCCAGTCCAATCCATCTCCACCTCCTTTATAGTTGGTTCGTTGGCAGACCACAATGAATTCCTTCTCCCTTATTCTTCCTCACCATCTCATCTCATCTCATTGTCAGTGTCAGTGTCAGTATCGGTATCGGTATCGGTATCGGTATCCAGTGAACATGGGCAGCAGCTATTCATGATGTATGTCTGCAGTTTGTTGGAAATGCTTTATGTAAGGTGCCGCCAACCCTGTCAAACATCACATAGAAGCACTGACTGACTTCACTGACATTGGTGTTCGAAATCCGGATGTTGTTCACGCTTCATGCTTCATGCTTCATGCTGAGTGCAGTGTAGTGCAGTAGATCTCCGATTTTGTGCAACAAGACATTGGACATCTATCATCATCGGTGAAATGCAAATCTTGTAGGGTATTTTCTTCGGTCAAACAGAGTATGCCCGTCTTCCCACTCCTCACGGTTTGCTACATGATCTGGTTGACCAATGTCAGGAAGTTGAAATCAAGGGGCCAAAATCCAATGAACTAAAGTTAATCTGCAAAATGTTTTGTTCTAGCTTTGTTGGAACAACATTGTTAGGTTTTACGATTGTTTATTAGCTTATTTATAGTCACTGAACAGTGACGGAGGTCATTTTTTCCAGTTCTTGGCGTATAGTGCAGTCGTAGATAAACCATTCGCTCGTAATAACCATGTGATGTTTTGATTTGTGTGGGTTATTTGATGGTGAGCACATAAGCTGTTTCGTCAGAGATCCAAATGCACACACACAGCGCTTCAATTAGTTAGGTTACTACTAAACTAATGTGTTGACGACTCACTTCATCCAGGTTCGGACGACACGAATGGATTTGTCACTGAAAACTAATCAAATCCATCTCATCCAGTGCTAAGTACTGTTAAAATTCTATTGATTGCCGATCGCCGCTAAGAATTTAAATCCACCAGTCGTGAACAGCAATGATGATCACACTACGAAATGATCAGCGGAATTCTTTCAGCACCTGAACACTTGCGATCTCCAGAGACAGTTACATACTAATCACAATATCTTTTGAAAATAACGATGAATTTATTTCAAAATATCAACTTCTTCTGAGCTTTATTCAAAGTAAACTAATAAATGGTTTGTATACAACGGATTTGGCACTTTTCTTGCGTAGGGTATTTCTCACTAGATGTCCAAACTTGTGTCATCTAGTGGTATAATCATTAACGTTACCACTGAACTAACCTGTTGGCGACTCACTTCATGCAGGTTTGGCTGTCTCTGGAAAGTAATCAAATCCATCTTATCTGGTGATAAAAACTGATTGGATTCTGTCAATTACTATTTGCTATTAAGGGTCCTCGAAAATGACGATGACCACACTATGAAGTGATCCTTAGAACTCGGTTATCACTGGAACAATTGTTACTCTACAGATACTGTTTAATAATTAATCACAATAGCCTTTGTAGATAACGATTAACTTATTCCAAGGTATCGATTTCCTTTGAGCTGTACTTCTTGCTGATACTCTTCAAATGCATAGTCATTAAGTACTCCTGTGTCTTTGGTAACTCAGGTCCTATAATTCAGCATCTGGTTACTCGGTTATTTAACTCAGTCATAGTTCTTCTTGGTCAGAACGAATTAACTGGGTAACCGTAGTCACTAGGTACAACCATCTTCATGTTCCTCATACAAAAGACGACAAAATGCGACATCTATTAGCCAAAGTGCAACTAATATCACTTTAGTGATTTCTCTCAGTTCATTTGAGAAAGCAGAAGTTTGGTAAACTTAAGACTCCTGTCACAATTCCTTTTTCATTCCTTATCAGTAGCTCTCTATACAGAAATCAACTTGGTTTCCTACTGTTTGAAGAGTAAACAATGAAGTGCGAAACATTATTCAGGTGTGGGTTATGATCATTTGATACTTATATGCAGAATGTTTTGTGGCATTAAAAAAAATTCCCAAGTTTTATTCTTAATGATCATTTTCTTTTTTATTATAGATAACCTATCTAAATGGAAGTAAGCCTGTAGCAGCACCATGTGAACGTAAAGGTGTTTGGCGTAAGTTTATACATGCACAATATTTGAATTGTGCTACATTTGAACCATACAGTTATCTTCGTTCTGATACTACGAACATTGAAATGTACATTTATTTGGATGAAATGTTACAACGTGCTCACTGTGTCGACTGTTTTCATGGTGAAGTTAAATCACAATTATCCGGTGCTTTAATATCAATACATGGTGCTGATATACTACCAAATATCAATGATAAAAGTATTAATTTAAAACCAGGTACACTGACTGAATTGCGTTTATCCATTGTAGAGAATATTCAACAGATGCCACCATATGGTAGATGTTCTATGAATCATCCAATCAATTTACAACTACACGATATGATTTATAATTATTCTGAGTATGCATGTCGTCAAGCTACAATTCAAAATGAAATCAATCAAAGATGTGGTTGTTATTCAATGGAATATCCATATAATGAGCATACAGGCTATGAACCATGTACTGGTCTATCACAATTTATCAATATTTCCAGTTGTAATCGTAATGAATTATCAATGGATGTGAACAGTTTGAATTCAACATCAAAGAATGAAGCATGTAAGAATGAGTTAAAAAAATTTGTAGCTAGAATGATGTGTAAACGTTCAGTGATTGAAAATTATGTCCATGGTGCATTGCCAAGTTGTACAATGCCGTGTTCATTTTATTCTTATGAATCAGAACAATCCACATCAACATGGCCAACTAAAAGTTGGCAGTTAACCTGGTTAAATTCTTCATATAACAAAAGATTAGGTGTCTTCAAAGGTGCAGAATTTGAACCGTATCATGAAGCTCAACGTCTTTTAGAAGCAGGTAATGAAACTGAAGCTGGAAATATTCTTGAAAAAACAAATGTTTTAGAGCGTAAATTACTTGCTGTTCTTATAAATCGCCCAAATTTTGATGTACGTAAAGTAGAAGAGAAAGAGGTTCTATCGTTGACTAGTTTATTATCTCAAACAGGTGGATTATTCTCGATTTGGATTGGATTATCAATGATTTCATTAGGTGAAGTATTCGAAATGTGTATACGTTGTTATATTAGAGCTAAACATTCTAAAAGATCTTCTGCCATATTTCAAGATGATCCAGTAAGCATAGAACAATGTTCTTGCAGAAATAAATCGTCTCATGAACATAATGATCATTATCAAATGTCAGATACTAATTATCACCTACTCTGTAATGCTTTATCAAACTATCTAATTTGTGATTTTAATACAAATAAAGATGCTCACAACAAGAGAGTTACTGTGACAAATATTGAACAGATTAGTGCAATTGATCCACAGATATACGAAGCAAAACGTAACGGTCATGAACAACAGCAAACTAACATAAATGAACTACCAAATACATAGTAAAACAGTCCTACGTATCCCCTAACAAGTAATCGAATACACACTACTGTTTGATCATAAACAATTCATCATATGTATGAAGAAAGTATGAGTTGTAAAAATTAAATAACTCCATCTGGCAACACATATATTTTCTATTCATTTTTGGACATGACAAATATTATCTTAGTGAAGATTATTGATAATATAAATCTATTTTCATTAATTTATCTCGGTGTTCATAACTATGTAAATGAATAAAGATATCAATCCACTGATAAATAACTAATCAGTAATTATGTCATTGTATCTTCAAATAACTTTTGTATTTTAGTAGGCATCGATGGAACTTTCTCGGAACGCTATTGTCAGGTGATCAAGAAATATTCTAGAAAACAATATGACTGACAGAAGGTTTTCATGTTTATATAGGTTTGTCATGTTAGTTGATCATTTGAACAGAGAAAAAGTAAACCAAACATGATACAAATCAACAATGAATTGCTGTAAGCCATTTTAAGATATTAATTGAATAACCGATTTTGGTTAGTTTCAATAACTACTTAGTAAAGTTGATAAGTAGTCTCAAATATTTTACACTAATGAATCAGTTGAACATTGATTTCTTATAGCACTGTATGAAGAATGTTATGTAGTAAATTCCGATGTGTGGAAAAAACATCAGCATTAATATCCTGCTCTACCGAAAGTTCCATAAAATTCTTAAAAATATCTGTCAAACACTATGTTACTTGCGTAATCCAGTCGTCGATTGAACCGAATTGATAACTGCCTATTAGTATATGCGCTCCTATGCATATCCCTTGATTTAGTCTATACCTTCCGTTTCTATACCCCTGATGGATATTAGCCAGCATTGGAATCCAGAATGCCTGTTTCGCCAGATTTGAGACTCGTCAGACGGAGAGCAAGTGCATCCAACTAAGAAGACCCGAATGGAACAAAACGTGCATGCCGAATTCCTCTGTTATCCACTACCCATCACTGACATAAAAATATCAGCCAAATACCTTACAGCATGGAATAAAAATGTTACACATATACACAAACATATATACCGAATTTTCCATTTCACCGATGATGATAGATGTCCAATGTCTTGTCGCACAAAATAGAAAACCTACAAGAAAAAACCAACAAGTTGACAGAAGAAGCAGGGAAACCAAGGAAGACGGAACTTCCTTCACGTGAACGTAGAAAAGACAGAGGTGATGAAGATACCAAACCAACAACAACAACAACAACAAAAATAACAACAGCAAAAACGAACACCAACCACCATCAACGAGAGAGAGAGAGAAATCTGAAGGAAGTTGTCTCTTACACCTAACTCTCCTCCTACACAACATCGACTCAACTACAGCACAGGTGGTGACAGCACAGATGAGTTCATCAAAACCATGATCGGAATGATGGCAAGACACGCCTTCATCACTCTGAAATAATCAGTGTGGAGATCTACTGCACTGCACTCAGCATGAAGCATGAAGCATGAAGCGTGAACAACATCCGGATTTCGAACACCAATGTCAGTGAAGTCAGTCAGTGCTTCTATGTGATGTTTGACAGGGTTGGCGGCACCTTACATAAAGCATTTCCAACAAACTGCAGACATACATCATGAATAGCTGCTGCCCATGTTCACTGGATACCGATACCGATACCGATACCGATACTGACACTGACACTGACAATGAGATGAGATGAGATGAGATGGTGAGGAAGAATAAGAAAGAAGGAATTCACTGTGGTCTGCCAACGAACCAACTATAAAGGAGGTGGAGATGGATCGGATCGGATCGGATTCGACTGGATTGTATTGTACACACAGTGATGAGAGTGTTTTGGGAAATCGTGCACTGGATGAGGTCAGGTGAGCTCAGTTCAGGCCAGATCAGATCAGATCAGCAGTCCAGACCAGGTCAAGCTGGATCAGGCTGTCGAGTGGAACCGGAATGGGAAAGTACGAGTTTGGCGTGTGAGGAAGAAATGAAATGTTGTGGTCAGTGGTGTAGTGAGGTTGTAAAGATTGGAGAGAAGAGAGTGAAGTGGTGGCGGGCTATTGAATCTCTATTTTCCACTAGAAACCCAAGGGACAACTAAAAGATAATAATGATAGATGTAAAAAGATCCAGATTTTTATGTCGAAACCTGCTGGGTCAATGTTTATTTGTTCAGCTGCAGAAATTATCAGACGAAGTTCGATTTCTTTTACTATTGTTGGTGTGCTGTGCTTAGGGCATCTCAAACCAGCTTTGCCGTGTTTTCATTCGTCCTCAAATAGGTTTTAATCGATCAAAACAAAAGACTATTTTAAAGTTGATTTATCTCATTATACTGTCAGTTTAATTATTTTTAGAGAGCTATCGAAATGAAATATGGATGAGAAACGTTTTGATGTGATAAGCAAAAAAATGAACAACCTCTGTTTAATTTAGTGTATTGAGCCAAACGTATGAAAGGAAATTCAAAACCGACGGTTTATGTATATCGGAAACTAAAAGTGAACATTAATAAATCTAATTTATTCTACAAATTTTGGAACCTTGGTAGCACAAATTTTTCTAACCAGGTTGTTTTCAAGTGAATGAGATTGATAATGTGAGGGTTTACACGTTGACTCAACATAAAGACACACTAGGGAAGAAATTAAACAATGGACAATAATTTCAGGTATTTTATGAGCTCCTAACTGATGAGGCATATCAAACATGAACAAAAGCGAAATTTCTCAACCTGAATCATGGAAGAATCGTTTTTAGGTTCACGAAAGAATAAATCTGTCCCTAATGTTAGTGTTAGAGTGCTGAAGACCACAACACTACAACCTACAAATGTCAATATCATTTGATTATCATATCATGCAGTTGGCACTGAAATTATGGATTAATTTCTGCTGAAGTTATGTTGCTCAAAATTAAGGTTGTAATCACAACAACCATCCTAGTATAATTGTTTTTATATCTTGTCATCGTTGACTGGACCGAATTGATCGGTCTGTATTGGCATATGGACTCCTTCACGGATGCCTTCATATTGCCTGTGTTCTGATTATATTAATGATGGATCGTGGCTAGCTGATGAATCCCAAATGGGACGAAATGCGCGTCCTGGATTCCACTACTAGCCGCTAGCCATCATTAATATAATTAGAACACAGGTAATATCGAGGCATCCACATTAGAGCCCATATACCAATAGAGACCGATCAACTACGGTATGACATAAAAACAATTAAATTAATTCTATATTCGTCGCACAAGAAGTAGCTAATGTAGCAACAACCATCCGCTTCACAAAACATGCACCATAAAGTCCTCAACAGAAGGATAAGTCACACGAAATCAGGCTAGACTAGCTAATGGACTGTCACATAACGGTAGTCTCACTTTTACAGCAAGTGAGTCTCAACGAGAACAACACTAACTGGGAGGCAGGTACGTTCAGTTCACGAAACCGAAATGAGACAAACTTACGCCCTGGATTACACTACTAGCTATTACCCATTAACAATATTAAAACTGAAAATACAGGCAATTTGGAGGCATCTGTAAAGAAGCTCATATGCCAATGATGGCCGATCAGTTCTGTGCAATCGACAACAGAGTTTCACAAGTTATGACATCAACACCTTACATTTTAAGATTATATTTCATCATGCATACGTAACCAATTCTACTCATTTGTAAACATTCTTCACCGCCCCTAATATAACACATATATACTTTGATTAAATTTCTTAGTATCTAGACCTCATTTGTGTTGTGACGTTGTAACTTTTTCCTATCTTCAGATCACTAACTGGTATCTTGAGGCACCCCATATATGCTGTGTTAATATTCATGATAGTATCTACTCACGTATTCATCAAGGTTGCATCCAGCTGGCGAAAACCCTTTGGGGTGAAACGGTCTGCAAATGTTGTCCTCAGTTTTTTATTTATTTTAAGCTAGAGAATAACTAAGACCAAAAAACAACCTAGCAGTTATCATACTAGTTTGGAACCAGTCATCAGTTCATGCAGTCAAGTGAACAAACAATCAAGCTCATCATCTTCAGTTCCTGAAGTCTGCACTTAACTATTTAGTCATCTGGATGAAATTTAGCTGTCTATATTCTTCAGTTTCCAGCCATTTACGGAACCGAACTATCATAACTCAATAATAGTGAACTTTTAGCTGGGTCAATTCTTAGTAAGAAAGGTCTTCCTCATCGAATTTACTGTCTTATTTTTATACTTTAGCGAACAAAAAGTAGTCAACTGTGCATTGTAGTTAATCTAATCTAATAATTTATTATGAAAAATATTCCAGGAAGTGCTCAGTGAGAGACACAAACCTAGTTGAATTCAAAACCCCTCTAGAAGTATCAACTACGAAAAGTAGAAGAAAAAGGGATCAACCTGATTGTCAAAACATAGTCTTATTTATATGTATACACGAAAGATTTCACAATATCGCTCCACTGAATCATAAAATGTAGACTGTTTATTGCATTCTTCAGTTATTGCGAAAGACTAACTGTATCCTTGAGTAAAAGAGGTATAAAAATATATTAGGTTAAGTGAAAAGTGTTTTATTATCAAGTCATTTTGTTAACTAATTGTTCTGAAACTAAGGGGTAAAAACGATGTAAAAACAGACTTCATCTGCATCATATATGGTAATGTTTCACTGTTCCAGTTAGTCGACTACGCATTACCATACTGACAGTTTGAAAGTACCTCAAGTAAATGCAATTCAATGTCTGTATTCTTTTCATGCTTGAATAAATATGTAGCACATTTTAAAGTGCTTGGAACTGTGCCTGATAGTGAATGATTCAGTGGCGGAATTTTTATACATAGGAATATTTTGTTCCCTAAGAGATGGGCAAATTACGTTGCAGCAGTATAGCCAGTATTTACAACAGATGTACAACATTTTCTTTTCAAGATAATTAAGTCATATATAAAAATAGAAATCTTTCCACTCAATAGCGATTCCTATTCCATCCTAAATCTTAACCAGTTAACTGTTACAATTCTTTACCCTGAAGTTTTGCCGCATGCTACTTATACATATTTTTATATGTTTATTGCATCAATATTACCAGTTATCCTTTGAGTTCCTAGTAGAAAGTAGAGATTCAATAGCCCGCCACAACTTCACTCTCTTCTCTCCAACATCACTGCATCACTGACCACAACATTTCATTTCTTCCTCACACGCCAAACTCGTACTTTCCCATTCCGGTTCCACTCGACAGCCTGATCCAGCTTGACCTGGTCTGGACTGCTGATCTGATCTGATCTGGCCTGAACTGAGCTCACCTGACCTCATCCAGTGCACGATTTCCCAAAACACTCTCATCACTGTGTGTACAATACAATCCAGTCGAATCCGATCCGATCCGATCCATCTCCACCTCCTTTATAGTTGGTTCGTTGGCAGACCACAATGACTTCCTTCTTTCTTATTCTTCCTCACCATCTCATCTCATCTCATCTCATCTCATTGTCAGTGTCAGTGTCAGTGTCAGTATCGGTATCGGTATCCAGTGAACATGGGCAGCAGCTATTCATGATGTATGTCTGCAGTTTGTTGGAAATGCTTTATGTAAGGTGCCGCCAACCCTGTCAAACATCACATAGAAGCACTGACTGACTTCACTGACATTGGTGTTCGAAATCCGGATGTTGTTCACGCTTCATGCTTCATGCTTCATGCTGAGTGCAGTGCAGTAGATCTCCACACTGATTATTTCAGAGTGATGAAGGCGTGTCTTGCCATCATTCCGATCATGGTTTTGATGAACTCATCTGTGCTGTCACCACCTGTGCTGTAGTTGAGTCGATGTTGTGTAGGAGGAGAGTTAGGTGTAAGAGACAACTTCCTTCAGATTTCTCTCTCTCTCTCGTTGATGGTGGTTGGTGTTCGTTTTTGCTGTTGTTATTTTTGTTGTTGTTGTTGTTGTTGGTTTGGTATCTTCATCACCTCTGTCTTTTCTACGTTCACGTGAAGGAAGTTCCGTCTTCCTTGGTTTCCCTGCTTCTTCTGTCAACTTGTTGGTTTTTTCTTGTAGGTCTTCTATTTTGTGCGACAGGACATTGGACATCTATCATCATCGGTGAAATGCAAATCTT